GAATGTTCCAACCTTCCTCTGTTTTTAATTTATTGTATTTTCTCCCTTTCTAGAAAAATTCAGTGTACCTAAAGATTTGTCAATTTGCTGATCTTTTGAAGAACCAACTTTTGCTTTCCCATGCGTTGATCTTTAAATAGAAATACAAGTGCATGCGGGTCACTACAAACGAGTGGTCCTGGCCACCCTTGGTTTTCCCCACCACCAGAGGGGCGGGGAAGCCAGCATCGGGTGGGCAAACCCTCAACCAGCTGGGCTTGGCCAGGGTCCATCCCGCATCTCCGTTACCAACTGCCCACCCAGGGTGAAGCCAGCCGTGTCCACCAGCCGGAATCTCAGCCACATCCAGCTCTGTGGGCTTCTCGTGCTACCTGGACCTGCCCAGAACACAACGTGGGCTTCCTGATGTCTGCCATAGCGGCAGCCCCTCCCCAGGACACCTCAGAAGCCACAGTGACATCCTGCAGGGGAGGCGTTGGCGGTCAGTGCGAATGTCACCTTGTCTTCCCCAAAACCAGCGCCCAGCCTGCCGTTCTGTGACCAAGTCTCTCTCCTGACCTGTCCCCAACAAGACTCCCTTCCCCAAGCAGGCTCCCCCGGAGGTACCTACGCTGAGATCTAAGTCACAAAGCAGCCTAGGGCACCTGGCCTCAGACAAACCCGGGGCTACTCCTCACCAGGGTTCAAATGAGTCTTCATACGTCACTTGAGAGAGATTTTTAACAGCAAATGTTTAGTTACTAAAGACCCTGACGTTCCTCCCCTTCTCGGTTTATTTTGTATTAAAGTATGGAAACATATGGCCTCCTGCCTTTACGTCCTAATGTAATAAAGACTCAGATAAGCACTTTGGTGACTTATTTCTAGTTTTAATACATATTCTTGTCTTCTCGGTTCATCGGGGGCGGGTTTAAGTGACAGGAGAAATTCGTGTCTGATTTCTACTCCTTGACACTTCCTTCCTAAGAACGTTCCAGCACTGGGCTCTCGTGCTGCGACTGCCGTGTTGTGTTATTTTGTCACTTGGGACAGAAACCGTGGAAATAGTTTGCATTGCTTTTGGTATGAAGACCTGCCCAGGACAAGCGGGGACAGGGTAACTGCGTTTTCTGTGGGCATCGTGTTGGTCCAAATCGTTTTCAAGCAAAAGCGAAGATGTGAAATCCTAGAACTCACTCATCTAGTTTAGTAGGTCACAGGAAGCGTGCAAACCACACACCACAATGAACCAAAGGCAGCTTGACAAGATCAAAAGTTTCTCTGTCTTGAAGGTACCAACTGGACAAATCCAGGTCCCATGAGCGTGGAAGACAGAGGCCATCCTCGAAGGGCCTTCAGGCTATTGATAAACTTCCTGTCTTCTCGCCCCACCCACCATTCTCTCCGGCCACGCTTTCTCCCCTTCCACTGGGGGCCGTCTTGCCATCCACGGAAGGGCAGAGAGTCTAAGAACAAACCCAGCTGGTCCAGCCCTCAACCCAGCCACTGACCTCCAGAGTGGGATAGGGACTTCTCACGGTCACAGTCAGTTTGACTATTTTTTCTTTTTTTTTTTTTCATTCAGGAAACATAGACTATTTTTTGTTCCATTGGTTTGCAGAAGAACTGAGCTTCTCTTTCCTACCCCAGGTCCCTTGAGATGGCGGCCACAGACAGGCCTCCTACGTGGTTCTGTGTGGTCAGCAGCCACCCCTCCGGTATGCTCGAAGGGCCACACCCATTTTTCCAGGCTGGAAATCTCAGAACCATGAAGCCAGTGCCAACATGGAGTTCTCAGACTCTTGGAAAAGCACTCTTCCTAACTTCATGTGCATGAAAAATTCTAAGATGTATTCCCCGAGGGCCCCAATTTTCTGGTTGTTATGGAGCAAATGAGAAGGTGGTAACAGAGTCTCTCGGTGTGATGGTGTGGCTACTCGTCATCCTGCCCAGACCCACTGTGCACCCCAGGAAACAGACACCAACGGGCTGTGTCCCCGAGACTCCCTGGGGTCCCCCGGGAGGCGCTGGGAGGTCAGGAGCGGGAGCAAGGGGGTGGGTACCTTCTACTTCTGAGAGTCTCTCTCTTTTTTCAGATTGCTGGAGGCACGTGAGCTCATTGGAGGGGGGGGTCAGAAAGTCACCCCAGGGGGGCGCGGTCACGCCACAACCCCTTGCTGTCCACTGCTCCGTCCCATAGGGATTTGGGGCACACACGCACACTCCACGCAGGTTTTTCCAAGCTGCCGGGGCGGGGATATAAAGCACAGGTGCCACGAGGGAAGTAACTCCCCTCTCCGGGCTCAGGGCCGGCCCACTGCTCCTGGGCCGGCCCACTGCTCCTGGGCCCTCTTGCTTTGCCAGAGTTCTAGCAGTGGCGAAATGAATTTTAGCAGAGGAGGAAACATCAGTTCTCTTCCGTCTTCATAAGTTCTTCATTGGAATCATCCCTATAACAAAAGGCAAGTGAACAAGAGAAAATAAGCGTATTAACTTGCATATTCCATGCAGACCTGTGAGATCCTGGGAACGGGGTCTTCTCAGAGAACTGCCTTGGAATTCCAGTTCAGATCGCACCTTCAGCAAAGGTGTAAACCTTCAGAGCAGTGACAAAGGAGACGGGCTTTGAGTCTCTGGGGGCCGCAGTTTATGAGAGGGAGACACGTGGCAGATGCAGGCCGGTTGGTAAAGCGTGGCCTGCAATTCCTGTGCGTCCACAGGCCGATGAGGGCTCCCAACGGCAAGGCCTTGCTCTCTCCGGAGAAGACGGGGGAAGGGGAAGGGTCCTTCTGGTCTTTGCAAATCTAGGTCCTGCTTTCAGACCATCTGCATCAGAAGCTGCTGCATCAGCTTCTGAATCGCCTGCAGCTCGGGAGGCAGAGATGGGAGGATGGGGAGAGCACAGACTTGGGGCGGTGTGTGCCGGTATCCCACAGTGCACAGGGCTGTCCCCCTCTACGGTCGCGAATCTCGGGTCTGCCCTTCAGCCCTGTTGGTTCTGTTCGGCCTGGCCCCATTCTGTAAATACACTCATCCTTGTGGTCTCCTCAAGGTCTCAGCAAGTGTGCCCCGTGGCAGGATAAGCCAAGGGTTCGAATCCTGGTTCTGCCACGACCTGCCCCTGCCTGTCTCCTTGTTTATGAACCGTGGGGCCCAAGTCAGCAACCTCTAGAGCAAAGACGGAAAAGGAAGAGAGGTCCAGCCCGGCAAGGGGGACGTCCCGGGGTTCTGGCCCAGCCCGGGGTCCAAGAGTCCGGAGAGGCAGCGCACCCAGGGCCGCTGGAGCGGGATGGCCTGTCTCATGATTGAGATCTCAGAGAGACCCTTCTAGCCCTGCCCAGAGACACATGAGGGGACAACTGGTGAACTGTCTCTGTTCCTGAGCAGGAAGGGGACTGTCTTCTAAGGAGAAACCCCAGGCCCTTTCTTGCTTAGCACAAAGTCCAGGTCTAATGAGGGCCACGTGGCTCCAGCTCACAGAAGTCCAGGAAGGGCGCCGGGACTGCACTGGGGGTTCTGTTGCGGTGTGGTAAACTGCCATTTGTTGAGCACTGCAGAATCGGGGCCTTAATGATGTTTGCTTTTAGTGAAACTTCTCTCCGAGGAGTGGCACCCGTAATAGCCGAGGCCCACCTTGCTAAGAGCATGGGCGGCACAAGAGAGCGTCTGGTTGCCTCGCTTCATGCAAAGGTTTCGTCTAAACAAACACTTTAATCAGACCTCATGCCCACGAAACCAGTGCACCTGGCCACAGTCAAACCCCATTCTTTTCCTCCACTACCACCCACAGGCCCGCTAGCACCCGTCCTCCGGGAAGCCAAAGGTTCTGCTGTGGTCCCAACATGCAAACGATCACTGTCAGAATGGCAGAGCCCCAGATGGAGAGACCCGTGGATAAGAAGCCTGCAGTCCTTAGACTCGAAGCAGATGTTGAGGGTGTGCCTGACTCACCCTCGAGATTGCATAAGCAAGATTTCAAAAGTAACCCTCCTCTGAAGACCTCAACCCAGGGTGCAGCGTTCCTGGCTGGAAAAGAAGAACTGCATCTTTCTGAGTTTTTTTTCAGATCTTTACCATCACTTGCCCCGTATCTCCGCCTTCTTTTTCTGCAGGAAACTTTATTTCCTACTTCTGCACACCCAGTTTCTACCTCCAGATCTGTGTGGTTCTGCTACTGAGAAGCCTGATACACGAGTGCTGCCTGGAAGAAGCCTTCCTCCGGTGAGTTGCGGGTGCTTTTTCCATGACTTTATGAATCATAGGCTCAAAGCATCTCAAATCTGGAAATGCAGAAACGAGGCACGCCCTCAGGTCTGTGCACTGGGGGGATGTGGAGGGTGCTGTGCGCAGCAGGAGGTGACGAGAGACCCTGTGACAGTGGGGAAGTGCAGGCTGCAGCAGTCAGATCACCCCGCTGGGCTCAGGTGACAGGAGAGAATAAACAGCAATGACAGTGAGGACGGTCACTCTGTTCGATCACCCCTAAGCACCCACGAGCTCGCTGTGGCCCTCTGAGCACCCGAGGGTGTGAGAGGGCTGGGCCTCTCCGCCTCGTCACCGTGTCTTCTCCAGTTCACCTGTGGACAGTCCAGGCCTGGACCAAGATGCACCTCTTGCTTCACCTCAGGAAACCCAAAAAGGCTGAATAGAATGTGTCTTTCTGGGGGCAGCTCCATCAGCTCTGGCTGCACGTCCTGGCACTCGAATGACAGCTAGGTGGGAGCATCAAAGCCACCTTGCCATTGCTCTACCGTAGGGACTCGAGGCTAGCCAGTCGCTGTAAGAGCCAACTGAGTGACGTGTGCCCCTAGAACCTCAGGGACACTCAGTTAAGGGTCACAGTCATATTGCTCAGGAGGGCACGGCTTTCAACCCAGTCCTGATAGCGATCTTACGTAGTTTCTGCAGACTTCGAGAATCTGGCTCAGTGGTGAGAAATGCAAGGCCCGCGAAGAGTGTTCATCACAGAGAAATGGAAAGAGCCACAAACAATGCAGCCACTACCAGACAGAAGGAGGCTGAGAGTCAACCCTAATAACGCTCAGTCTCATAATAATTATTATCACTAACACAGTGTCTCGCATTCATGAACTCTGCCTTTAGGCTCGTGAAACCCTAAGAGACGATAACACGATAAATGCCATTTGGTGCATGTGGTTTTACGAGTGATGGAGAATGCAGCTCGGGCTTCGCAGAGAAGGGGAATCTGAGCGGTGAAGGCTGACTAGGAACTCACGGGCCGTTTGAGGAAGAGGGACAAGCATATGCAAAGTCACTGAACCACGGAGGAATTGATGGGTTCGAGGGCAATGTCGGGAAGACGTCTGAGGGCCAGGATTTGGGGTTTGAGAAGCGATCGGAAACAAAGCTGAGAAGAAACAGATTGAGAGAAGATGGGGTGGGTGGTCAGGACGTCATCTTTGCGGTCCCATCACACAAAGCTCATGCCACAGCTGGAGGTTTGTTTTTGGTTTGTTTTGGGTTTTTTTGAGAACTTTTTGCTATAGGGCATGTGCGCTCGCCAGAAAGACAGAGACAGAGAGACAGAAAGTGAGAAATCACCCCCAGGGGGGATGGCCACACTGCAATCCCTTCTCCTCCGTTCTCCTCTCAGGATCTTAGGCACGCATGCACATGTGCCCAGTGTGAGTTTAAGCCACTGGGTCCAGGACTTGAACCACGGTCGACTACATGGGAGTCCAGCGACGTAGCCACTACGCCAACTGCTGATCCCTCACAGCTAGAGGTTTTAAACTGACAAAGGTGTGATCCAATTTCAATTCTAAGAAGACAAACTGAAAGGAAAGATCATGGGGGCCCTGCAGCTTAGTGGTTAGGGAAGCCAGAACCCACATGGTCTACCATGGTTCTAATCCCACCTCAGCAGCTTGAAAAACACGCTGGGCGGGTACATGTGCATGCATGTCCTACATCCCACTAGGACGGGGAAATGGAGAAGGGTTTGCAGCATAGCCACAGCCCATGGCAGCTGTCTCTTCTCCCTTCCTCTCCATCTCTCTGTCTCTCTAGCTCTCTCTGCACATGCCCTCTGGCAATTAGAGAAAGAGAAAGAAGGAAGGAAGGGGAGCATGGTTAGAGAGAAGAAAAGACCGCCACAGAGTGAGAAGTGAGGTAATAAGTGGGGAGCCGTTGAGGAGGTAGGGTTCTCGCCCTGATGACACAGAGAGGGCCTGCCCGAAGCGCAGCAGTGAAAGGCGACCCTCTGCAAGGCCGACCCACAGGAGAGTTCCGGGTTCTTATCTGGAGACCTTCCTGAGCACGCCAGGCACACGCATGCCCATGATCCGGGCTGGCCGGGCTGGGAAGGGACTGCGGCGTCAAGACCGTATAGGAGGCTCTCCCTGCCCCCGTCTCTCTCTCTCTCTCTCTTTCTCCCCACCCCCATTTCTGTCTCTGACTCTCTCACTCATGAAAGAACGCAATAGATAAAGTTTTTTTCTTAATACTCATGAAAATGAAGTTGAGCAAATCCAGGGCATTTGAAAATTGGGTTGTCATTGCGACCTTGGCCGAGAAGTCTCGGCAGGGTGGTGGAGGCAGAAAGAGAAGCCCCCTGCAAGTAACAGAAATGCATTTCATGAGGACTTAAAATGGGGGCTTATTTTCTAAGACTGCAGGGACTCAGAAGACATGCAGTCCGCCGGCGGGTTGGGACTCGGGGGTGCTGAGGCCGCCTGGCTGCTCTCTGGTGCCCTGAGCTTCCATTCGTGGTCCTCAGCACCAGGCCTTCCTCGCAAGACAAGCTGCAAAAGCAGAAGCAGCCGACGGGGCTTTGTTCTGGGTCTCTCGTGTCACAGAAGAGCCTTGGCATAAGCCCTGGCAGGCCGCCCGTACCTGCCGTCGGCCTGGACCGAGTCACTGCCCTGTGCACCCCTACAGAGCAGTGGAGAGAGCGAGCGTCCAGCGTGTCTAGGCAGGCAGTGAGAATCAGGCTTGGTGGGGAAGACAAGGGTTTGGGGAAGTGGCTCTGGGGGACAGTGGTGTCTGCAACTGGGCGCAGAGGTGGGCAATGAGCTGGCCACGTGCTTTCAAGGAGACGGCCACAAAGAGAAGGCCAAAGTCCGTGTGGCCACTCGTGTGGAATGAGGATATTTTGAAGCTGGGGGGTTGTCGTCTACACGGTGTGTGGTCATCAGTTTGTTCTGTTGACAGAGCAGAGGAGAGCCTCCGCCGTCCACGTGCATCATGCCGGCCACAGCCCCGTCTGTGTTTACCAGGAACAGGAGCAGCGAGGAGGCCACCACCAGTTATGACTACGATTATGGAGCCCCCTGTGATAAACTAGATGTGAAGCAGATGGCGGCCCAGCTGCTGCCCCCGCTCTACTCGCTGGTGTTCATCTTCGGCTTCGTGGGCAACATGCTGGTCGTCCTCACCCTGGTGAACTGCAAGAAGCTCAAAAGCATGACTGACGTCTACCTGCTCGGCCTGGCCATCTCCGACCTGCTGTTAATTTTCACACTCCCGTTCTGGGCTCACTACGCTGCCAGCGACTGGACCCTGGGGGACGCCATGTGCAAGCTCTGCACGGCGCTCTACCACATCGGGTATTTTGGGGGGGTCCTGTTCATCGTCCTCTTGACCATCGATAGGTACCTGGCTATCGTCCACGCTGTGTTTGCTCTCAAGGCCAGGACGGTCACCTTTGGGGTGGTGACGAGTGGGGTGACCTGGGTGGTGGCTGTGTTGGCCTCTGTGCCAGGAATCATCTTCGTCAAATTTAAAAGTGATGACAGTCGTCACACCTGTGAGCCTCATTTTCCACTGGGATGGAAAAATTTCCATACAATCATGAGGAACATCTTGAGCCTGGTCCTGCCGCTGCTGGTCATGGTCGTCTGCTACTCGGGAATCCTGAAGATCCTGCTCCGCTGTCGGAACGAGAAGAGGAGGCACAAGGCGGTGCGGCTCATCTTCACCATCATGGTCATTTACTTCCTCTTCTGGACCCCCTACAACCTCGTCCTCCTCCTGACCACCTTCCAGGAGTTCTTCGGCCTCAACAGCTGTGAAAGAACCAGTCGACTGGACCAGGCCATGCTGGTGACGGAGACCCTGGGGATGACCCACTGCTGCGTCAACCCCGTCATCTACGCCCTGGTCGGGGAGAAGTTCAGAAAATATCTCTCGGTGTTCTTCCGAAAGCACGTCGCCAAGCACCTCTGCAAGCAATGCCCAGCTCTCTACAGGGACACAGCAGACCGGGCAAGCTCCACGTACACCCCTTCTACCGGGGAGCAAGAAGTCTGGTCTGGTCTGTAAAATGACTCACACTTTGCTCACGCATTTGAAAGGGAAATGAAAACCTGTGTACAATAACTAGCTTCAAGTTTTTGTGACATATGTGTCCAGGAGGCTCAGGGTGACAGGCATCAGAACAGATTTGCCACTTTCTGTATATCCAACGTGTGTTCAAGGACGACTCCAGAACGATTGCATGCAGGGACTCGGACTCCCCAGCAAGCTCATCTCAGTCCTGGAAAGTGCCTCACAGCCTGTGCCAAGGCTCTCTCCGGTCTTCACCATCTCTTCCCTCAGTCTTTGATTCAACCAATCTCTAGAAGCCAAGGCCCAGCTGGAGACAGAGGGGGTGGGGGACAGGACAGGCGTGGGGTGAACGGGGACGAGCATAAGTGGGGTCAGGGCCGAGGCCACGAGGGAGGGACGTGAGCTCAGTGCACCTGCACAGAGGGAGTGGGCCAGGGACTGGCTCTCAGCCAGGAAGCGGTCCTGACCCTTAGCCCCATCTCCTACCCGTCTTCAACTCGGAAAGCTTCTCCAGGCCACGGAGCGTCTGGGAATTGTAATGACTTCCGGGAGCTTCAGCTGGGCTGGGTAAGCCTCTAGGGCTCAAGTGCACGGCACATTTTTGCTTTCTTACTGTCCCCCTCCGACCTCTCTCACCACTGTGCACCCCACTAGAGAGCTGCTAACTACCAAGCCCCACTACTCGTGTGCTCCTTAGGCCACGCCCTCATATACAAACTCAGAAAACGTGTGCGTGCTAGATGTTCATGACTTACGATGAGCTAAAATAATGATAGTCAATTCCCTTTATGTGTCTTTCCAGGGAAAAGGGGAGGTCGGAAGTAGTGATTAGGAGTGAGGGGTGGAGAATGGAGGGGTGGAGAATGGCGAGTCCCTCCCTCAGGAGTGCAGGGGCTATGGGGAGGCCCGGGAGGTGCATGGCGCTGCTGCAGGAGTGTCCCCAGGCCAGCTCAGAGGACAGGCCAGGAGCGGTGCGGCAGAACCCAGTGACAGCCTCCCGTGAACATGCAGGCTGGTTCCTCTCCCTGCTGCCCCTGCCAGCTCCCCTTACCCAGCCCATGTCCCCGCAGCCTCGGCCACGTGACTCTACTGTAGGATGCCCTTCTCCGCAAACCCAGTGGGGGGTCCGGGGGGTAGCCCTGGGGAGAACGTGGAGGGAGCTATGCAAGGAGAGCCCCTTGGTGGCTGAGGGAGAGGACAACCAGGTGACCCTCGGCTTGTTTGGGACAGAAACGGCACCTGGAGACAGGTGACAGAGACCCCTGCTTTGGAAATCCCACAGCCAGCCGGTGGACCACAGTGTCTAAATTTCCAGGCAGAGTGGGCCTAGATGAGGGAGACGCTGAACTGGAGAAAATGTTCTTCCAACGACTTCGCAGTGCCTCCTCTTTGGAAACGGGGATAGAAATAAGACTTTTATTAAAAGAGTAAAAATAAAAGTAAAATCGAAAGCTGCAAACTTGCAAATATGGCCAAGGACTAGTTCAAGGGCTGCTATCATGCCAAGCTTGAAAACACTGCATTATTCCAGACTAGCAGATGGCATAATGGTTAGACTCCCACGTGGTTGACCGCGGTTCGAGTCCTGGACCCGGTGACTTAAATTCATGCTGGGTGCGCGCGCGTGTGTGTGTGTGTGTGTGTGTGTGTGTGCCCAAGATCCTGAGAGGAGAATGGAGGAGAAGGGATTGCAGCATGGCCATCCCCCCTGGGGGTGATTTCTCATTTTCTGTCTCTCAGCCTCTCTCTGCCTCTCCAGAGAGCACATGTGCCCTATAGCAAAAATCTCTTAAAAAGGAAAGAAATGGTGCATTACTCTTAGAGCCGACTCTGGCTGTGAGCTAGAAGTCTGGAGAAGGCAGTATGTCTGAGAAAGTCCCACCCAACACCCGGCAGACGGGGTCTGCAATCTGCAGGCGACTGGCATCTGAGTAAGTCTGTCGCCTGGTCACAGCCCACCCTCCGCAACCAGCATCTCAGCCAGGTGCGTGTGCGTGCGCGCCCAAAATCCCAGGAGGAGATGGCAGGAGAAGGGATTGCAATGCAGTCATTCCCTCTGGGGGAGGGTGATTTCTCACTTTCTGTCTCTCTGTCTCTCTTTGTCTCTCCGGCGAGCTCACACACCCTCTAGCAAAAATCTCTCTTAAAAAAAAAAAAAGAAGAAAAGGCAGCTTTTCATCCCAATTTATAAAGGAGGGGACTGAAGAAGCTCGCTCAGCAAGCAAAGGTTTTGCTCCTGGTGGAGCCAAGTTAGGAACATCCCTGTCTGTTACCTGCCCGGCCTCTGGACCCAGACCCCTGGGACAAGGAGGCCGCCCTGACCCTGGTTTCTAGTCATGCAGCTGAAGGAGGTTTCAGGGAAGGGGATCCAGCATTATCCTAGCGAATGCACACATTTTTATTTTGATGGGGATGAGATGTAAATATTGTTCTTAAAAACTATGATTTGGAGAATAAATCAATGCTCTATCTTGGTAAAAAATAAAAAGCGCCTTCCTGTTTTGTTACACTGCGGTGTGGTAGACTGCGCCGTGTCGCAATCTTCGCCTCTCCACCTCTCCCCCTGCGAGTGCACACAGCTGCCCTGTGGCACACTCACCCTGGGCCCGAGGGGCACACTCCCCTCACCGTGCATGGCTGGCTGTGCTCAGCTAAGCAGTGCCTCAAAAGTGTTCAGGCTGGGCCCTTCTGGGCCACAGGGAGTCTGGACCCGGCTCACACCCCTCAGCCCATGTGCCCTGGTGGTGAGAGACTCGGGGAGTGGAGGAGCCAGGACCACAGCTGCATGTCCGGGAGCAGGAAGCACGCATTCGCTGTGACAAGCCACTGGGTTTGCAGGTCAGCTGTTAGGAAGAACAGAAGCTGATGAAGGTGTATATCTTATCGGCCAGCAGGTGGTATAGAGGTTATAGTGGCTGGATCCCATATGGCTGAATGCATAGTTTGAGTCCCGGACCCGGCGACTTGAAAAACACGCCAGGCACATTGTGTATGCCCAAAATCCCGAGAGGAGGACGAGGGAGAAGGGGACTGCATGGCCATCCTCCCCGCTGCCCCTGCAGCCCCTGGGAAAACTCTCACTTTCCCTCTCTATCTCTGCCAGTCTCTCCAGCAAGCACATGTGCCCTATAGCAAAAACAACAAAGACGTCTGGCTTCTAGCAACTTCATAAGAAATGCAGACGTGTGTCCATTTGATTCCACATCATGAAATTCTGCGTGACGAGCACCCCAGGGACCCACTGTGAGCTGGGCAGGTCAGGAGGTCTGGCGGCTAGATGAATAATACCATCAGACAGCCTGCTGTGAGGAGGTGGGCAGGGGCGGCACAAGCGGGTGCAGGGGGACACACAGGGGTGCATGAGCATGGGCGGCGCTCTGAGAGCCGGGGGAGAGCCCTGCGCTGTGACAGTGACAGTGATGGTGACAGGACGGGGCATTCTGAGAGCCGGGGGAGAGCCCTGCGCTGTGACAGTGACAGTGATGGTGACAGGACGGGGCGCTCTGAGTGCTGGGGGGGAGCCCTGCACCGTGACAGTGACAGTGATGGCGACAGGACGGGGTGCTCTGAGAGCCAGGGGAAAGCCCTGCACCGTGACAGTGACAGTGACGGCGACATGACCGGGCGGCTGGCGAAGAAATGGCCACATGCGAGCTGGCAGCCATCTCCAGGTGTGGGAGGGGAGCCCTTCGTCCTTCATGTCCTGGGGAGGACACCCCCATGGGCTGTGCAGCTGAGCAGGAGTGAGGGAGGGACGGGCCCTCGCTGCCAGGGAAGGCGTCGTAGGGTTCCTTCGGCAGAGGGGCTCCTCATGGCCCCCCACGCCACCCTCCTGTGGTCTGGGACGTCCACAGCCCCTGGGGTTGGGGTGGTCATTCTGCAGAGGGGCCTACAGCCTGGGGGGAGGCACTGAGCCCCCTTCCTTCCGCCCTGCTTCTGCTCTTGTTCATCAACCCCCTTGGCAAGAGGACATGGCTCCAGGTAAGGTCAGCCAGCAGGAAAGGCCACCAAGAGCCAATGAAGGAAACCCATGCAGTGAGAGGGGCCTGGGCTGCCCAGTGACCTCCTCACGGTGGCTCGTGAACTGTGGGGAGTGACCAAGGTGGACATTTCTTTGGCCACGTCTCTTCGGCACCAGGTTTGTAACGTGGGGGAGGGCGGAGGAGAGGGGTGGTAGAGGGGAGGCGAGGGCAGCGTCACCCACCGGCCCTGCACAGCCCACTCTGCACCGGCCGAGCCGCCCTGTGGCGGACACACATGGGCAGTCCCTGCAGGGGCCTGGAGGTGTGAGGACTCCTGGACTGACAGCTCCGCCCCAGCACGGGGTCACCTCATCCAGAAAGTGGGGGCCCATGTTGACAGTTTTAGTCTGGATGGCTCCGCCAGTACTCTCACACCCTGGGGACCCCACCCCACCACCTGTCAGGTCCCCACTTCCTCTGCACAGCTCGCCTGCTGGGCACCCCACCCAGGATGGAGGGCTGGCCTCCCTTCTGCAGCCCCCATTCCTCGCATGGTTCTCAGGGGCCCTCCCTGGGCTGGAAGGAGAGGCACTCCCTACTCCCCCCGTCAGCCCCCTGCCCCAGCCTTCTCCCCCAGTGTCTTTCTGCAGATGAGGTGGGAGACGTTGGCATGAGGGTCAGGAACAGGGCAGGGTCTGACACCTCCTGGCAATCCGGGTAGGTGTGTGACCTGCCGTGTCAGTGGTTGTCCTCAGAGCTACAAGGACTCCACGCTCCTTTGCCCTCAGCCTCAGGCCCTCACTCCAGAGCTGAGCACACGGCGCAGGGTGGCCTGGCCCAGCGAGGGTCACGGAGGGTCTACAGGACACCTTCCCCTGCGTGCCAGGCCTGTTATGGCACCTGAGGTCGCAATGGCCGTGTGTGAGCGTGGGTTGGAGAAACCAGGAATGCGCAGAGCAGACTTCCCGGCCATGTGATGGGGTATTCACCATGGCTGGGCACTGCTAACACGGTGACGGGGCCAGCCTGCAATGTCCACTTGGTTTGAGAGTTTGGAAGGCACATGGTGGTGAGGAGCACGGGGGGCAGAGGGTTGTCCTGAGAAGAGTCTGAGCACAGACGGGAGTGGGGAGAACAGCACGGAGGCCCCCACTCTGTCGCCATAGCAGGTCCTGAGACAGGTGACGGGCCGACCACGAGGGAGCAGAGAGGAAAGCACCCAAGCGTCACTGGTGAGCCACGTGGTGACCAAGTGTGACACGGGGCACGGGTGGAGTCTCCCCGTTTCCTGGAGGACCATGGGGACTCTCTGGCCCTCCTGGAGAGAGTGACTTTGAGGACACTAGAAGCTTCCTCCTTGCCGGGGCATCAGAGCCGTGGGCCGTCAGAAGCCGTCCCCGCGAGCGAAGGGGGAAGAGTCGCCCTCGTAGCACATCGGCGGGGGTCTCACTGGTCTGCAGAAGCCGAGGCGGAGGAGGATGGCAGCTGCGATTCCGCTTCTACGACGGAAGGAACAGGCTGTCTCAGCGTGAGGTCAGACGGGCCCTCCCTGCTGCCGGGCAGAGTGTGCCTTCCTGCGGTGACAGGAGTGCGCCGTGTCCGGATCGGGGTGGAGGGTCCTCGGGGGCGAGCATGTGAAAAGTCACTTCGCTGTACAGGTAGCGTCAGCACACTTGGCTGTGGGCGAGACCTCGATGAAAACAATTAAAGGGGCCAGCAGGTGGCATGGGGCCAAAGGTGCTGGACCTCCACACGGCCGACCGTGGTTCTAGCTCCAGACTCGGCGGCTTAAAACTCATGCCAGGTGTATGTGTGTGTGCCCAAAATCCCAAGAGGAGAATGGAGGATCGTGGCGTGGCATCCCCCTCGGGGGCGACTGCTCCCCTTCCCTCTCACTGTCTCCCTCCAGTGCGTGCATACACCCTATGGCAAAAAATCAAAGTAAGAACAAACAAAAGCAATTACAGAACGTTTTGATGGCATCGGGAGTGCTGGCGTTGCACTCTAGCAAAACGAAACAAAAGGGACGTGAGCGGAACGGTACGTGCAGGGCAGGTGACCGGAAAGCACGCCGGGAAGGTCGGGCTGGGCCGCAGCACGGGCTCCAGACGGTTTGAGATTTCGCGCAGGGCAGGTGACCGGAAAGCACGCCGGGGAAGGTCGGGCTGAGCCGCAGCACGGGCTCCAGACGGTTTGAGATTGGGACAGTGTGTCTAATTTTGAACATTTTTCAGACAGGGTCTCCTTATGTCACAGTCCTCCTGCCTCGACTTGTGAGTCGCTGGGACTACAGAGGATGCCACCACCCCAGCTCTTACGGTGGGCCAGGATGGAAGCCGGCCTCGGCGGGACTCGGAGTGCGCTACGCCGCTGGGCCTGGGCCTGCCTCCTTCTTCCCCACCTTCCTATCGTTCCAATTTCATACAGTGAACGCGTGCTGGTTTCATAATTAGACACGCTTTTTTTTAATGAAAACATCATCTGCTGTTTGCACAGCCCGCCCCACGGTGGACCGGTGTTGACCTAGAGTCAGTTCCAGCCCCGGTTTGCACGCGAGCTGCTAGAGGGCACGTTTCCCTCACCGTGTGCGTGTCCTCGGTCCTTGGGGCCCAGGGAGAACTGCCTCCCCACCCCGCCCTGCTGACGGTGCTCTGGGGAGATGGCCCGGAGCTGGCATGGGTGAGGAGAGCGAAGCACCGCAGGGACATGGGAGCCATGGCCGGACGATGGAGCGGTCATGAAAGACTGGCCAGCGCCGCAGAAGGGTGGCCGGCATGAGGCGCTCTCCGGCGTGGGCATCCGGAGTCCAGAGTGACCAGCTGACGGGGAGGTCACTTTCCTCTGGGAGTCTGATGCAATACACATGAGAACGAGGGTGCGACGGGAGGGACCAGGGACAGAGAGGAGCGGAGACCAAGAAACTCAGCCAGCGCCTGGTGACCGTCCGTGGTCGTCACGGCAGGAGCCGTGCTTCGCTTCAGTGTGGAAGAGCTCCCCCGGGCCGCCCTTCTCGTGCATCCCTGGCACGGATCTCCATCCCAAGAGGTGACAGGAATGTGTCTAGACCGGAAACCCCACAGGGAACATACCCGACTAAGCCGTGCACCCCGCGGCCTGTGAACACCCCCGTCCCAGTCCAGCGTGCACTTTCCCAACCAGCTTGGTCGCGGAGGCGCGCAGTGGGAGCTGCCCGGGCCTAACACAGCACTTGGAAGATGAGGAAACGCAAGTGCAGAGAGGGAAGTGTCGCCAAGGTCACATAGCCAGTGTCCAGGCTGCGACCCTGAGCCCGCTAACTAGCACACACTGCCCTCTGGGGGCGAGCACGCCTTCCTCACCCCAGCCACCTGATGACAGATCGTCCTGCCCAGCTCTGCGCGGTGAAAGCGAGAACCTGCAGCTGTCACCTACAGAAACGTGTCTTCGCCAGCGGCATCCGACGGCCCTGCCCACGTGTTAGCGTGCCTCTCGGAC